TTTTCTTCCTTTCTTTTGTTTTATTTTGAATTAGTGAATAACAAGTCTATTCTCAAATATGAGTATCTCATCACCTTTTTTTATCTAAATCCTCAATTCAATCATTCTATCATAACTCTCTTTCTAAAATTTCTTATTTCATCTAAATCTAGTTCTACCTCACATTTGAAGGAGTTTGTTGCAATCTACCCATATGTTGTTGTCAATCGTTATCAATTTAGGACATTGCTTGATATTATGCGTAGTTGGCTCATTTCAAACAGAGGTTTTCTCATATATACTTCATGTTCTATGTTTTTTTAAGGGCTAGATGCACTAGATGGCCAATAGTAATGGATAATGCTCTAAACTATGTTTATCGATAAAAGACAATCGGGCAAAAAAAAAAAATTAAAAGGACCATTTTTTAAAATATAAATAAAAAAAAAAAAAAAAAACCCGATCAAAGCCGATCGGCTATAATATTTTTGACACAAAAAATACCCTCGTATGGCCGGGCGGCTATACTATTTTTTTTTATATTTACGGACCCACTACATATGTATATATATATATATATATTATAGCTGCTCGGACATACTATTTATTTAAAATAAATAATAAATAATTAAAACGACCGGCCCATTGCCTAAATGGCATCGGGTGAAATTATGTATAGCCGCATGGCTATACTATTTTGGAAAATACTCTAGCATATAGCCCTGCGGCTGTACTATTTTTTGGGACAAAAAAGGCACCCGCCTAGCAATTAGGTGTCCACCCGCCAAAACAAGTGTCAAAACGAGAATCGCCGCCCGGCTATACTATTTGTTTATAAAAGAAATGCCATAGTACTATACTATATTATATTTAAAGGGTATTGCTGCTCAGCTAGACCTTTTATTTTAAAAAAAAATTAAAAAAAGTACCCTCCGAGTTGCATTAGTTTATACTTTATTGATATTAATTTGCTAGTTTCAACATATCCAAAGTGGATATTAAAGAGAGAGAAATTTCACAATAAATCAATCTGAGAGTTCAATTACTATCAGGTGATGGTGGTGGTAGTGCTCATTATGTTTGGAAGTGATTTTGGGAGGGCCAAAATCACTTATAGAGAGAAGCAGCTGCCACGTGTTTCTCCATATAATCACTTTGAGTGTTTTTAAGTAACTCTGGGGAGAAGCACGTGGCACTTCTCATGTGCTTCTCCATAAAATCACTTAACACCACTTAAAGTGATTCCCCATATAAGTGACTATTGGTCTATCCAAAATCACTCACAAACGAGCCCTAAGTTTATAGGTTGTTTTAGGCTTTTGGATGTTTTGGATTCTATGGCTTGACTTGAGATATGTTTAATTAAACTGATGTGAGTTTTGTAGTTTTTTGTATGACTTTTGTCTACTTCAGTTTTTCCTTTCTTTAAGCTAGTTAATTTTGTTGCTTATGAAAGAGAAAAATCTAGTTTTATAACATTCACAATATGACATGTTAATATTAGAAGAAAAAAATAACGACTAGTATACCCATTGTTGATAAAACATGTGATGTACTGTTGAATGGTTCTTTCTTATTTATTTTATTTTTTGCAATTATATTTCACAATCGAATGATTTAAATATTATTGTATTATATTGTTATGCTAAACAGTTGCCAACTTTGTTATGATTTGGCAAGAAAAAACTTCGTTATGATTTGAAAGTTATGCAAGATTTTTCCATTTATTGATCTACGTACTAATATTGAATCGGTCTTCGGTTAAAATAAATATATAACTGTCCTCATCCCAAAAGAAAATATATAACTTGCACTCTTTACCAAATTATTGATGATTAGACTTGATCAATGTCGTAAATTTTTGAAGATGCACAACAACACATTCTTCTAATTGGGTTAAACTTTGTTAAATTAACTGCTAAATCTTGCACCTATATTAAAATACAAATCCAAGACTTAACCTTAGTAAAAGAAATGTCATCATGTTTTAAGAACCACCAGATTTCATTGTTGATTTTTTATTTGAGGATTGTAACTAATAGTTTTTTTGGGCATGATTAAAAGGGGATGGGTGGGGAGGAACTTTACCGGAGATAAAAGGTTCCTGCTCCCTACGGTTGAGCGGGTAAGGCCATTTTTTGTACTTGTTACTTATCCTTCTTCAATAAAATATGATTGCCTTCTTTTTTCTTTTTTTTTTTAAAAAAAATTCCGAATAATGTATTTATAGTTATATTGTGAGGTGAAGATGACCTTACCAAAAGAAAGTATGATACCATAAGATTTATATAGATACAAAGCCAAGTCGTACTTTATGGTTGCTAGGGAAGACGAGAGAAATAACATAAAATAAAATAGGCACCTCCAACGAGCAACTTGAGAATCTTGTAATATTTTTACTGTCACCTTCTATGAAGATTTAATACAAATTAATAAAATTTAAAGAGATATCAAATTTGTTATTTATCTATCTATATATATAAAGGCAGTGCTTAACGAAAATATTAAATAAAAATATGATCCTGAATAAATGGCAGGGGTAATTTGGACAATAGAACCAATTGCTCTCCAACTAGTAGTCAAGGGCTTTGAGGCAGGTAAAGCTTTTTATATATTATATTTTCTACTCTGAAAAGAATAATAATTAATCGAGTTTTTTAAAGTCTCAAAACTTTGCCAGCGTGAACTTTGTAACTGTATGGATGCCACAACGTGTCAGTATAGTAGCGTGTCTAGTGGGTCCCACAATCTGCCACGTTTTATTAATAGTTTATTACAGTCGACACAGCCCATCAAGCATTTAGCCCAACGAACAAGGGTAGCAGCCAAAGCCTGTGTTACTTCTGCCACGTATGAGACTTGGGCATCAGATGGGCACCCACGTGTCTCGTAGCACGTGCTGGTAGGTTGGCCTTCTCATGAACATTAGGGTGGCAACACACCATGCATTCATTCTTCCCTTCTTCTTCAAGGATCCAAATGTAACGTTAAAGCAATGTTTAAAAAAAGCTAGATCGTGTTCTAGAGTAGAAAACACTTTTAATAAATCTTTTTTAGTGTTATTGTCACTTTTTTTTAACTTTTCTCGTGTCGTGGTATCATCAATTTTGTTCGCAAGAATTTTGTGTTCTTTCTTCCCAACACTCACGTCAATGAAATAGAAAATGCCTTCACTTTCAAGTTTACAAATGCTAGCATTGATTTGTAAAATGATTGGATACTAGTCATTTGATTTGTGTGTTATACGTAACATACTATTCAGTGACTAGCATCAAATCATGCACATATGCGATTAATGATAGCGCAACTTCTTTTCTTTTTCAATTTCGTAACGCAAAAGCAATCTATCATATTGCAAATCAACGTAGGATTTAGTTTGAACTTGAAAACAAAAAGAATAGAGAAGTAACGTTGTGTTCCATAACATTTTCGTACACAAACATTAGGAAAAACTTATATGTGCTTGGGCAGCAGATGTTGACAACTTGTTTCTTACGTTAACTGAGAAAGAATATTCCCTCATATTCTATCATGCTTTTTTCGATTATACCAACAAAAAAACATATTAAATAAAAGTTTTGTTATCCCCTGCGTTGACCAACCAGTCCCCATACGAGTCATTCTATAATGAGGGCCTTATATATGGCCCTTAGGTGAGATCATATCACTTAATCGTTGAATCAAGCTAATCAATTTAATCCAACGATTAACCTATCTGATTTAACAGTTAAAAGATAAGACTTTACTTAAGGACCATATATAAGGCCGTTATTATAGAATTCTTGCCCACGATTATTGTTGCCTAGTAAACGGGCTCAAAAAACACAAAAATAGCCCAAATAACAATGAAGAAAATCCTACCAAGAAATAACACAAATCAATCCTATCATTAGTTTAGTTTAGGACAATTTCCATTTACTTGTAAGAAAGAAAGAAAGATTTTCTTCTAATAACAATAATAGCACAAATACATACAGGCCTAATACAATGAAAGAACCAAACCAACAATAGCAAAACAAAACCAAAAAAGAGCTTCCAGTTTTTAAAGTTTCAGATGCAAGTCTATATAAGACACCGCATTCCCTACGAAAGACAAACCAGATGCTATCTATTTATTATGATGATGATTAGAACACTATTAGATTGTTGCTGTATTCAAATTACAAACAATAACACTATGCCAAACGTAGCTGTTCTATTGTCTCTGTGCCTCTTCTAGTTGGCTTTGAAACTGTCTGCCTCCCGAATTGCTCATGCTAAAAACCTTTCTATGTAAAAGGCAAAACAATTCAGCATTTCATGGCCCCTCCACAAATGATTTCATATTTAGATATTCTTCAACCTGCCTCAGGTATAGGTTTCACTTTGCTTTCTGTCAGTGAGTGTGATAACCGCGGCAGCTTGACAAAAATTTTACAACTCAAATGATCCAGCTGACCTATAATTCAGAACTCAACTATCACTTTAGTCAAATTTTATTCCCTTCCATTATGTTTAATGGCATTGGCAATTTGGAGGAGTGAGGGCAGCCCTTAACTAGCAAACATCAAGGAAACATTCCCTCAAGAAACTCATCAAAGTCATCATCATCATCATCAGCTCTATGTTCACTAGTAGAGATTGAAGCCTTTTTCCCTGCAACAAAATTTCTAACCGGGGTAAGCTACAGTTACGAGTATGGAATACAGAATGATGTCTCAGCTTTACAGCCATGTTAAATGTGTTTCCTACTGTCTATTGAAAAAAGGCTATCCTCCTTGACCGAAAAAATGCAAAGGGCCAATAAAGATGCATGATAAAAACATTTTTTTATT